ACATTGTCCATCATGAGGTTGAGCAGCTCCCTGAGCTGTTGCAACTGGTCGGACGAGTCATTGAGGCTCTCAGCGTTGCCAGCGCACAAAGTTTCCACACGAACCAAGCGATCTTCGACGTTGGTCGCCGTTTCCAGTGTGGCCTGCACCGCCTGCATCCGCTCGGTTTCTGCTTGATTCGCACGAACCAAGTAATCTAGCGAATCTTTGTGCGTGTCGAGCAGGGTTTTGTGGTTCGGCACCAGTACATTTAGCCCACGGATGCCCGAGTTGAGCTCACCATAGAAGCGTTTGAGGTCAGCATGGGCACTGTCCAGCTTGGTCTTCATCTCCGTGCGGGTCACATGAATGTCGATGCTCAGCTGCTTGAGCATGCCTTTCAGCTCATCAGCTAGGGCATCCTAGCAGCCCTTTAGGGTTTAGGGTTTAGGGCTTAGGACCCTACGACGCGAGTCCAAAACCTTACGCACGAGCGAGTTTGCTTCGAGTGGGAATGGATCTGCCTGGAACTTGACCTCCTGCCCAACCTGCAAGAAGGGGAGCAGAAGAAGCGTTAGGAAAAGCTATTGGGTTCATTATTTAGGGACTGTGGGGCCGTTTCGGGTACCTAAAACCATAAATAAGGACTACTTGGACCCTTATGGTTCATGTAGGGAAAGTGCTCAACGTGTGTAGTGCTTCTTGTCAAGCTTCTCTTACTCATGATGATCTACGGTCGATGCCTTGAAGAGGTTCAGAGGCCTCCAAAACAGAAGGACCATGCTTGCAGGAACCAGAATTTCCTCCTAACGAAAAAACTGATCCATTTCGAAAAGAAAGGTAGACAGCCGAACTGGGCTCCACAATCTCTCAGTGATGAGCCAGAGCAAGCCTCACAAACCCCAAACAACCTCAAAACACCATACACATCTGGCACGAGCACAGCCCCCGAAAAAGCCCTAAACCTCCAAGGGAGGTTCGAGTACTTTCATCACCTCTACCCATGGGCCCCTAAGTAGTTCCTTTTTGGTATTACTTTATAGGATTCTAAATATAAACCACAAAAAGGAACTACTTAGGGGCCTATGGGTAACCGGCACTGTCTTCAACAACCGGCCGAAGCAGTACAGTTGAGATTAGTACAGTTGAGATTAGGCGTTCACCTTGAAGGTTAAAGGGGTAAACGAGAAGCTACCTTTGACCAAAGCGCTTCCGGAGACGATCCGGCAAAAACACACGCACGTGCACATATTTAGGGTTTAGGGTTTCATTACATACATCAGTATGCACTACTCAGAACATGTTGCAGAGCAATGCAGAATTCCAAACGAGCCCGATATAAACCTTTTCCAAAAGCCAGCGTAACCGGCGTCATGCCTACTTCGTGTGTCATTACAGATCATTTCCCTGACACTGCAGATAGTCCGAAGTAGATAGGCTTTAGGTCCCAAAGTACCCATAGGCTCCTTAGCGGTTCCTTTTTGGGGCTACTTTATAGGATCCTAAATACCAGCCACAAAAAGGAACTACTAAGGAGCCTATGGGTAGATACTTTTTGTATACTTGGAGTCGTAGATTACTACGCAGCTCCACCACCTTGAAGTCTCCCACATGCCGGTTGTGTAAGTAAACCTCAGCTTGCAGATGTCTGGCGCATTCAAGGCTGACAAGCAGTGTGGGCCCTTGGATAGAGCAGGGTTCAGCGTCTGAGGTTCGGGGGTTCATAAGTGGCTTATATAGGATAAACAGAGTTGGGAGTTTACGCTTGAAGTCTTTTAGGTCTGGAGGGGGCGTGGTTAGAGTTTTAGGGGTTCGGGTCGAGATCCTGCAAGTAGGGCCCTCGAAGAGAAGAGGCTTAACTCTCAATTTGGGCTCTTCCCCGGGAGTCTTTTACCCTCAAGACTAGACCCTAAACCCAGAAATGGGGGGGGACTCCTGGGGTGGAAGGGCCCGTGAAGCTTCACAACATAAGCGTGTGCCTAAGGTACCCCTTGTGCTGAGAGCGCGGTTTATACACGGGCCGTGGAGAATTGGACTATCCTTTGGAACAGGCACTCGCAAAACCTCGCTTCTGCACTTCGCAGCACGGAAGAGAAAGCCTTCAACAACACGCAACACCAATCTATTGTAAGGAACACGAAAGCCCACAAAAGATTCAGTTTAGTATCCCGAGGCTGGAGGTAGCGTGTCACTGAGAGCTTGGCATCTCCGTCATGCTGATTTCGGAGGGCATCGCACACGATGAACCTTAGGGCTAATTTACCGATAAATGCTGAACAAAAGCTGGAAACTCCTGCCGAACGCAAACCTCAGTCAACGCTTTCCTGCACCTTGTGTTTTATAGTCAATACTAGGCAAGGCCTTCATACTCATGAAGCTTATGTTCCGACATCATCACATGAAAAGCTATAAGCTTTGGCAGGACATCCTCTTCTACTGCCTTTCTGACCAGACTTGAGTGCGGTGGCTCCGTTGCTTCAGCCAGCTTCCTTGACCTGGTTGCCTCGTGGCATACCAGGGGGGTACAGTTACCTGAAGAATGGGTCACTTGGGTTGCATGCTTGACTCCCTAGAGATAGATTGAACCCAAAAGAGCCTTTGAAAATGGCCATATCTAGAACATGTTTCGCTGCAGCTTGTAGAAATATTGTGCGCGCATTCTCCAAACCCTGTTCACGGACAGAGCCCCAAAAGCCCTAAGCTCTAAACTCTGTTCATTTGCACCCCGAATTCGTTTCGTTGCTTCCCTGGTGCTTCACAGAGCTGTTTCTTGTGTTTCGGGTTCAGGCATAAGGTGTTCAAGGTTGAGGCGTAAGGCGTTTTTGTGTTTTAGGCTTTTTTAGGGTTTAGGGCTTGGGATAGTCCAGGCCTTCGTTGATGATGTTTGCTCTCTTCACTCACACGAGGAGCTTCAATTGTTCATTGTCCAGCTTCCCAAGTTGATTCGAATTCAACAGCGCTTGCTTTATTTGCTACATCTACATGGTTACTTATCTCTGTAACCTCAGACCTTAAACCCTGACCATAAACATTTCACTACTATACGTGCTGGGACATTCCCGCCAGCAGTGTGGGTTCCAGCATCTCGCAGACTGGCTGCTCAAACTGAGAATTTGCCAGCGTTTACCGTCCAGGGTATACATATAGAAGCCCAGTTACCCATAATACTGGATCCGTGTACGGGGGTCGCTGTATAGGGTTACACCGTAAGCTACTTACTACATATGTATGCCATAGGCACCTGGTTACTTCAGGTTCTCGCGATCCATGAACCCATGGTTCGGTGTCTAGGAAATCGTGCTGTCCTATGCACGGCTAAGGAGTCAAGTTATTGGGACGTCCTGGGGCCTAGATGCCCAAAAACCCCGCGCGCCCACACCCGACATAGCCGCACTCTCTGTCTCAGCACGCCGCCCGAAGCCCTTCTCTGCGTTATAGCTCCTTGGCGGCCAGCGCATGTAAAACACAATGCACATGTTCACATATGTGCATATGAAAAAAAACATGCACCGTTACCTTGTTTCCTATACATGTACACAGACACATATCTATATACACTTGCATTTACATAGTCTCAGAGTCTCAAACTTTACATTAACATATACCTAATATACTTAGACATACACACATACTCATAGAAGAAGGAAGTACGCAGACACCTGTATTATCTGTAAAAACCCGATGTAGCTACTATGTGTGTGTGTATATATATATATATATCGAGAGAGAGAGGTCATGTATATATATATATACATACACACACCTACATATATATCTGTGTAAGTACGTGTGTGTATGCATGTTTGTATGCATGGATGTATGTGTGCATTGTATGCATGTAGGTATGTAGGTATGTAGGCATTTAGGTATGTATGCAGGTGGGTAGGTAGGTAGGTAGGCAGGCAAGCAGGCAGGCAGGCAGGTAGGTCGGTGGGAAGGTAGGTAGTCAGGTAGGTCGGTCGGTAGGTAGGTAGGTAGGTAGGTAGGTGGGTAGGTAGGTAGTGTGCATGTAGGTATGTATGTATGCATGCATGTTTGCATGTATGTATGTATGCATGTATGTATGTATGTATGTATGTATGTACGTGTATGTATGCATGTATATATACAACAGAAAAAATATATATATATAGACATATATATATATAGACATATATATATATATGTTTAGATTATTGATTTACAATGAGCACGAAGGCTTCCCTGTGCAGGCTAGACGAGGACATGACGGCCTTGAACGCTCTGACGCTTCCTCAGTCACTTCATAGCTGGCTTAGCTGGACAGCCATCCCGAAACCCTAAACTTCAAACGCTAACTGGCATCCCTCAGGTGTGCGTGTGTGTGTGTGCGTAGAGGTCTATGTCTATCTCAACTTCCATGCCTATGGCTATTCCGATGTCTATGTCTGCGTCTATGTCTCCCGACCTGTATATGTATGCAGGCACATATGCATATGTATATATATATATGAATGAATGTGACCGCTAAATCCACACAACCATGGACTATCACAGTGAAAATTGCAAGATGATATCGGATGATAGCACCCGAGCTCAGAATACCACAGCACCAATGTACTCATGGCACCAATGCCAAAAGAAAGATGCAAACCACATCCATCTAATGTCGAGAGAGTGTGTGTGTATATGCAGATATATATATATATGTACATATATATATATACACATACATGCAATACTTCAAGATACATTCTCACAGCAGTCAGAGACTCGTTTCTTCTGCGGAGCATGCTCACAAGTCTGTAGCTACGGCGTTGAACATGACCGGACATTTGGATGCAGAAAGCGCACGTGAGCCAACCAGAATGCACGTAACAAGGGTTCCGAAATCTTTGAGCGCTGCTGTTGGCCCGCTGTCCTTTGCATCCTGTCACGAAAGCCAACGACCACTGAACTATACAAGGACGACTGCGGCGCTCATGGATGGATATGAAGGCGCGGCATATCTCGATGGTTGCCAGGGATTTTTCTGGCCGGCCGCCTGACTGGAAGGGAGCAGCTCAATCTTCATCTTCATTGAAATCAGCGAGGGTGCTGAAGATCTTGGCCCCGACCGCACTCCAAGCTTGAGTGTTGATCGGCGCATTCTGCATGACATCGAAGTCATCATCGCTGTCGTAGTCGGCGAGGCGCTCAAAGATCTTCCGACCCACGATGCTCCAAGACTGAACGTCGATCTCCTCCTTCTCGACATCACTGCCGCTGGAGTCCACGGTGCTGGTCTCATCTGCATCACCGGACACACCGCGGCTCATCATCTCACACACACGTGTTGGGGGCTCCACGGTGCACGGGGCGTCCATCGCCACCGCAAGCACCGATGATCCTGGAATAGGGTTGGACATGGAGAGATATTGCTCTCGGCTGCTAGCGCAGCAGTTGGAAGCTTTCTTGTGCTATCAGCTTCAGCTTGACCCAAAAATGTGGCAGGGCATAGGTTTTAGATTGGGGGCTGAACGGAGTGGGGCTTCGGGCTTTTAAGATTTGGGTGTTTGGAGATAGTGCATGGGGTAGTAGGAGTGCGGCTGCGAAAAAGGAAGATTTAGTTCGACGAAGCGGAGCGCCTGAATGCCAGGCAATGAAAGGCCCAGGGGAATCCAAAAGTATGGTGTATGTACAGTTATGAGTACTTCGACTATGGCTAAGGCTATTTTAATATTGACCCTACCTCGAATCTAGTTGCCATTAAGCTCCTTAAGCCTTTACGTAGGGACTCTCTTCAGAAGCTTGTCACATTGCTGTGAGCTACCCGCCTGGTTTCGCAATTCGCTCACCTGCCTGGAGGGCTCGATTCTGCCTGGCTCTTTCGGCACTTTCCAAACGCCACCTGGACACCCAACTAAAATCCGCAAACCCAAGCCCCAAGACCAGCCGAAGGAAATGTGGCCAGGGTGCTTGACGATGCCGTAGAATTCGCCAAGTATTTCTTGATCTTGGCCAAGCGTTGGGATACCCTCTTGACGTTGAAAAGACTATGCATATGAAAATTCTCTCGCTAGAGTAAGATCTGGGACTTTCCTGTGACAAAACTCTCAGGCGGGGTAACCTCTATCGTCTGTGTTGTGGTGTTAGGGCCCAAAAGCCTGCAAATGCGAGTCCTTGGAGCCTTCGGGAATGTATCCACCACCTGTCAGATACGAGGGGTGCTTCTGCGAACTGCACTTTTCAGCTGGAGTCAAGGATTGGGACCCCAGTACAATTACTTTTGACGGCCCAAGGGTGCTGAAGGCTATATTGAAAAAAACGCCATTTTCAAGCGTTTAGAGCTTCAGGGTCTACGGTGGCAAGTTGCTTGGGCCGCGGAACTGGCTGAGCTTCTGGGCTCACCGCTTAAGAGTATATGCCCTCTGCCCTAGGCCCCTAGGCTCCCCCCCAACCGATACCCTGCATTTATTAAAAAAAAGTTCAAAACGGTTTAGGGTTTAGGGTTTTAATCGAATGACATTCAAGCTTCGTTTTGGGGCCCTAGGCCTCTTAGTTTCAGCTAGTTGGTCCCCCGAGGCCTCTTAGTTTCGCTGACTCCTGCACCCACCTCCTTCATTTCCCAACGACGACTTCACCTGATTGATAACCGCTATGTGTTAGAAGTTATTGGATATGGCTGAAGGCGTATGAGATGCTTAGAATAAGAAGCGCCGCTTCCGAAACGCCGGTCAGCGTGGCGATTTCCACGGTGCAGCACTTGGGTAAGCAGAAATACCTAGGAAGAACCGTCGTCATTGCAGCAGCAGCAGCACAAGAAGTACAGCAGCGGTAAACCTTACATCCTTTACCCTAAGCCCTGTGCCGTAATACCTACATCCTAACTCCTAAACCCTATGTCCGCAACGCTGCGCCTTAAGCCCTAAACTCCTAAACTGCCGAAACCAACCGCACTGGGGCCGCGACTCGCCGCAGAGTTGTTGGACGGCTTTCCGCCCAGCGGCAGAAGCCCTGGGCGCTGCTCTTCAGGACTGTACCGGAACGGCATTTTCTAACGAACTACAAAATCCTAACCTCTTCAACGGAAGAAAAAGTTTAACTGCAGAATAACATGTAAAATCATGAAAGCCAACATCTTTAGGGCTTGGTCTAGGCCTTCAACTCAAGCCTGAGCCTGAACTGCGCAATTTTCTGCGCCGGAGCCTGTCCGCTGGTCGATCCAAGTCTACTGTGCTGACGTCCGACATCCCTTGATCTCCGACAGGTCATGACAGAAATCCTGTCGGGCTACAGGCGTTCTATGCCGTTCTCATGGGCTTTACCAGAACTTGTTTTAAAACACGCAAGCAACGCAGTCCCCGCTGAAAGAATCAATCAGTCAATCAATCAATCAATCAGTCAATCGATCAATCAATCAATCAATATATATATATAACATGTATGTATGTATGTATATGTATATGTATATGTATATGTATATGTATATGTATATGTATATGTATATGTATATGTATATGTATATGTATATGTATATGTATGTGTGCATATTTATATATAACCTCACCTTTGCATGGAAGATCTCCCGCGCAAAGTACTCCTATGCTCCTATGGGCCTGTTGACGCATCTCGAGCTGCAGCGGCTTCATGCCGTCTGTTTGCCCGATTGCTTCTGGTATCCACTCCGTCTGAATTGGCGGGATCGATAGAGAGGGCCACGGAGACCGCATTACGAGGAGGTACGCTAGCCGTGGAGCGCCGACACGACTCTAAGAAAAGCAACGTGTGATGAAGCTTGGTCTGAAAACTGCTGAGATATGAATGAATGGGCATACAGGCTTGCAGAGAAAGGAACACAAACAAGAGCACTTTGATTATGTTCCTGTTTGGTAATAATTTCCAATATAGTACGAACTCTTCATCGTGATGGTGGGTGGGTGAGTGCTGTCGAGAAGAACGCTGACGGCAATACTCTGAAGCTTTATTCAAGCGCGCATATCTCTCGAGCCATTTCCAAAAACAAACACCAACACCCAAAAGCCAAGAACTTCGCATATTCCTCGAGACGCTCGAGACAGTCCCGAAATATAATCAAAAAACAAAGATTCGGAGCAATTCCTAAAGCCATGTTTCGAGACAGTCCCAAACAAAAACATATCAGAAATCCAAAGCGGACATAATTTTCCGAGACAGTCCCAAAACAAGCAAACAAGCTCAAACCCATAGGCCACAACATGAGCAAATTCCTCGAGATAATCCAAAACCGGCATACACACAAACACAACAACGATTTAGAGCTAGTCCAAAGGCCATGTCTCGAAACTGTCCCAAAACAAGCATATGGCCTGTGGAACAGCTCTAAAAAGCAGTTCTTGTCTTCTTGGGACTGTCTCGAGGAATATGCTCATGTCCTGGCCTATGGGTTGGGTATGTTTTTGGGACCGTTTCGAAAAATAGGTTCATTTCACACTTCTGAGAGATTCCTAAATACATGCTGTTTCTGTGTTTTTTCGGACCGTCTCGAGGAATATGCTTATGTTTTGGCTTGGGGTTGTTGGTAAATTGTACTTTATGGGACTGCCTCGAGGAATGTGCTCATTTTCAGATTTCTGAGAAGCTCCAAAATGTTTGATTCTTTTAAACTGACTCGAGGGATATGGTCAGGTTGTGGCCTATGGGTTTTGATATTTCTTTTGGAACTCTCTTGCGATGTATGCTCATGTTTCTGAGAGGTTCCGAAATCTCTTCTTTTTTGCTTTTTGGGACTGTCTCGAGGAATATGCTAATGTTCTGGCCTGTGGGTTTTGGTATTTTTTCGGACTGCCTCGGAGATCACGGCGATTTGTGTTGTTTCAATTATTTCCATGTTCTGTATAATTTGTGCAGAATATTGAAAAACGAATCCAATATGAAAAATCATATTG